CCCCCCCGGCCACCGCATACAACTTGAGCCGCGAGCTTTCTTCATTTCTTCTCCGTCTCAGGCCCTAAGCCGTCGGTACTGAGCAACGTCACCACGCACTGCGCTGCTTTGGCGCCGCTGATGGAGCTGGAGGGCGAATGGACCTTCTGCAGCAGTAGAGCGTCGATGGCCTGGCGGGGGGCCCATCCTCGTGCCGAGGGCCTTCGCTGGGATCGTCTTTTTGACCGCCATGACCTCACCCAAGCGAACGTAGTAGTAAAGTGGCTGGATAGTAGACTCCGCGCTTCGAGCCGAAGGCTTCGAAGCCAATCTTTCACTTATCATCCCTTATCATCCATTCGTTTGGCCGGTCACTGTCGGAGGGAGAAGCACCTACGTCGCCCCCACATCCGCCGCCTGCCGCAAGCGCTGCAGCATGGCCACCACCGTGGTGCTGCCACCGGCGAAGCGCCCGCCGCGGCCACCGTCCACGGTGACTTCCACCTGCCAGCTGCGCTGCGCGGTGCTGCGTCGGGGCCGCAGCAGTTTGGGACACGAAAACAGGTTTCAGGGCTTTCAGTTCTGAGTGCTAGAGGAGCAAGAACAAAACAGCACAACGAGAAACAGTCCAAGCTTGGACAAGGCGGGCATGGCTGAAAATTGCAGGTTTCCAGGAGCTCTGAAAGACTGTTCGGACTGCTCGGGGAAAAGGAAAGCCCCCCAACTTCAAACTCAAACCAAAAAAGCATTAATAACAATCTTCGGACCCTAAAATCAGACCTTTCCTCTCATCCTGGTTAGTTGCCAATGAACACCAAGACTTCCTGCCAAAAATCGTGCATTTGTTGGCCCTCTGGAATGCAAGCATCTGCGTATTCTTGTTGACTTGGCAAGCCAAATCATGTGTTATGTGTTGAGTGCTCACTCACACCACCAGTTGTGGAAATGGTCATGTTCTTGGATGCTGCAAGCATCTTGAGCTACAAGCCAACTGCTTCTCTGGCAGGTCCGGCCACCACACACACAAAAGACTGCCAAGGATTGGGCTAGTCAAGTCAAGAGGCCTTCTCTCACTGCCATGTGTTTCAACATGTTTCACACGATGCAGCTGCAATCTGCAACTGGGCTCCCAGTTCCGCGGCGAAGCACGGGACCGAGCCGCGGCCTGCTGGTGATCGACGGTGAGGTGGCCGCCGAAGAGAAGCAAGGCATAGACCTCACGGAGGGAGACATTTCTCACCTGCGTCATTTGAGGAAGTGCTGTGATGTGCAGAACATTAGAAGTTATCATAAGTTATCTGCCAGCACCACCTTTCAGATCTGTTTCAAACGTAACAGCAATTGAAATCATCTTGACAGTTAGCCTTGGCAAAGCTACGACACGTTGTCAGCTTTCTTTCCGTGCCCCCCTTCAGCCCCAACAGCAGGCATTGAAGCAAAAGACTGGCTTGCTTTGATCAAACAGCTGTGATGGCAAAGATTTCTGAAGGAAAAAGTGCTGCAAGTGCAACATTTCTTGGGAGGCTTTAACCGTATCGGATACATGATCCTTTGATCCCTTTGGTGGTCGAAATTCGTTTCAGCATGTTTCGACATTGCTCGGACATGGAAATCCAACACACACACAAAACTTGGCTCAGTAGTTCTTGACCCCATCCCCTCCCTTTGTGCTGCATTTGTCTGTCGACTTTGGTGAAAGACCCTTCGCGCAGATCCGCCAATTAAAAGCTGACATGTCATTCATGACGTGTCTCTTCTGATTCTTTTTTTGAATCCTCTTGGATGCATGGTCTTCTCATGACACCGAGAGAATCACACTGGGCACCCCGGCCGAGGCTTCCGAGCAGCCGGTGAGGACCAGCTTCGTGGGGTGCTCGGGGTTGTCTCAGCCGAAGGGGGTCTCCGAGTTGAGCGTCGGGGCGTGTCCGGACGACGACGAAGAGAAAAAGTAATTCCCCGAGAAGGGGATTTAAATGGATAACCATAGGGAAAACAACCATGCATACGAGTCTTGTTTCCATTTCCAGCCGGGTCGGATTCTTCCATGGCGTAACTGTAGCATACTAAGTATGGAAAAACAAACAATCACAGCAAAACCAGGCCTGAGAACTTGGGAGAAACGAACGTCTCCCCTCCCTTCTTTCCACGCTTCTCTGCAAACCAAGGTGCTCTGTTGCTGAATCGTTTTTTCCTCAGGGCGCCCAAGCCACTCAGAATCAGAACTGCCTACTGGGCTCAGCAACCGCAAAAGACTCTAAGCTGGTTTCTGCAGCACCGGCACAGCCACCCGACAAACCATGTGGCAACAGGTGGCAACACAGACTTGCCATGCTCCGTGAAATCCGAAAAGGTTTGTCGCTCATATCAAAAAGCATTTTCACATGATGTTTCTTCTTGCCGGGGGTATGAGAGGATTACAGCATCTCACAGCTCTGGTTTAACCACCGCCTGTCTGGGCCCTCCAAGATAGAGCCCCCTTGCCTTAAAGTGAGGCCATGCCACGGTCAATGGTCCAAGTTTCAGGCCCACCCGTGCCCCCATGCGACCCCATGCCACCCCTTGATGGGCAATTCTCAGACTGCGCTCCGAGCCCTAAAAACCCCTCCGCACCAAGCGACGGAGAAGATGATGTAGGGGCACGAATAAGAGCTCTCCTCGGCAACGAATTTGATGCAGGAGGTGCACCACACACAGGCTACTGGCAGCTACTTGCTGCGGTCGGCAGCAATCAATTCTGTATTTAGAGTGTGGGCCGGTGCATTCCAAACGAAGCTCGGTTTAAAGTCAGTTGTGCTCGGTCTAGTGCAAGCCTGGCAATATATTCAAACCAAATGGATTTGCCACTCTCCAGAAAAATAGGACCAACCACCTAGCCACAGGAGCCAGGCACCCCGAAGCGTTAGTGCTCACGGCTCGAGCTTAACCGATCTCCGCCTTGAAGAGCAACGAGGATGGATGCAGGAAGGCCCGCGCACGCCCGCCGTCTTCCGAGAGCCAGTAGCGAACCTCGAGAGCCAGTAGCAACATTGGCACCCCCTCCGAAACATCGAAGGTGAGTAGTAACAAGAAGCTACTAGGAACAGGTGCCTCGCTACTAGTAACAAGTGCCTTACTAGTAGTAACAAGAAGCTACTGTAGTAGAAACAATACTTGTTGCTAGTGGCGGCACCCCTCCGAAACATCGAAGGTGGCTTCAATTTCGTTCCTTTCGGCGAAGTGTGCGCATCGAACCCAAACAAAAAGACCCCTCCGCCACAAACACTTCCCGCGTGAAGGAACACGAACAAATCAACCCAAAAGCGACCTCGACGTACGTGTTGATTCGCGCGAAGGCACTTCCCGCGCGTCGCTCTCGATTTGGATGGCGCCCGCCAGGCTTTCCTCACGAGCGAAGCAGAAGCCAGAAGCTGCCGCGGTCGAATTCGGGCGATGCAACGGAAGTCCGATGTGATGGGCATGGCGGGTGGTAAAGGGGCTTGGGATCAGAAACTCAAAAGACTCAGCAAGGCTTTGTTCATGCCCGTCACCGGCAGGTTCCTTTTTCCCTCCGTCCGACGATCAAGAACCGAATCAGGGTTCTTAGCGACCGAAGCTTGGCCAGGGCGACTGCACCAGCCCGAACATCCCGGAACACCGTCTCACCCGGTGTGGCGGATTTGGAGGTTCCATGAGGTTCCAAGGTTCCGCGAACTTGGGTGTGGGGCGCTCCACGCTGACCACTTGCGGATAGAGTCCCGCTACCACGGCAGCTCTCACCTCGGACCCGAACCAACGCGGCGACACGATGAATTTGAGGCGCGCCATGGTGGCATTCGGTGGAGTCCACAGCGAAAAGGATTCTTGTTTTTGCAAACTGTGGATGAGACGTAGGAAGTATATATAGGGCCTGGTGTGTTTGACAGCAATGAACCGGAACGACTCCTTGTTGCACCATCCTCCAAAAACAATCAAACAGTGAACCCCCTCCAATATACTGGAGACCCTTCCACTCTCGATTTGGACATGACCATATCCTGGGGCAGGACAAAAGGGTTGTCCCTTTCTTTGATTTCTTGGGCCAAGTTAAAATCTTAGAAACGGCACTGGATAAGCACTAGAAACACATGCTACGTACTTGCATGCGCTGGAACCTGATATTTTGGCAAATGAACATCTCAACAAGGACTTCACGGATTTTGGAAAAAAACACCGCGGTGCTCTTGCTCTGTATGACACATCTCACGGCTTTCCATGCTACACTTCTCACGAGAAGTGCAACGAGAAGTCCTCACAACAAGGCTGTTCTCGTGGTATGCTACCTTTTCCCATCCACCCGCCAAAACCACTGAGAGGCGATGTGCCAATCTCCGGCGTTGCCATCGGCATCTCGTTGAAAGCCCAAGGAGCGCAAGCCTGCGTGTCGAGCAGCGGTCTGCAGAGTTGTATTATATCACTTCAAAGGCGATCCAAACCACCTTGACCCTAAGTGTTATAAACCACCTTTCCTTTTCAGCATGGTATACCTAGTTTTGTCGTTTGAAGTTTGATTGACATCCTGAATCCTACCCGAGTAGTTCATCCAGTCACCTCTGTTCAACATGCAGCATTTGGGCATGTGCCATTTCCAGCCGGCCATCATGGATGACAGAAGCAATAAGTCACAGCATCGGATTGGGCCCAACGTGCGTAGGGTTTCATGATGTCTCATGATGTCTCATGGGGTGGTTGGATGGGGCTGCTGTGACCCTGTCAGATTTGAAGGCTCCTCTCCGCTCCAAAACAGTATTTGTGAGGGGGCTGCCACACCTCCCGCTGCACATGGAAAAGCGCCGAGTACTGTTCAAGACCCTATGGGTGTGTATGAAATAGGGAGACGCCACTAGTTCGATCTCTTCAAAATGAACACCCATATTTCATGTCTAAGATGAATTGGGTTGGAGGCCATGGCTATCAGGTTGGAGGTCGTTACTACTAGCAGAAAGAAGCTACTAGGCAGGAGGCTATCGCTCTTGGTGGGTGTTTCCTAAAGAAACCTTTGGACCATTTTCCAGGTCGTTCTTGGCCCCTCGTCGATCAGCCGTGCCGACCCTGCGTATCTGACGCCTGGCGTGCCCCACCCGGTGTCACCCGGCGCCTCGTAGGAGCTGGGTCCGGCAAAGCTCGGCCTCCACCATGCGCTCCAAGGAGAGGCCCAAGTCGTTGCCTCAGTCGTTGGCACCGATTTTGAGCCGAAAACGGAAGGTGGACCAAAACCCCCAGTGGTGCGACGAACAATCACAGAAGCAGTCAATGATCCACCGTATCTCAGCAGGTTTGAACTCAAACTCACTTCAATCTGCCATGCCTTGCCTTGCAAAACCCTTCAAGCTGAGCCGCAAAAGGCTTTCCGGGACTTCGCAGCCATAAAGGCCTCGAGCAGCGGGGGTCTGATTCCTCCCTCTGCTGCACGGATGCTATTGGAATGAGTGCCCGAAACTGTGAGTATGGTAGGAGTGAACTCCACCATTTAACCTTTACAGGATGAATCCAATTATCAGTTCTTTTTTCTTCACTTGAACTTAATTAATCAGGAATGTCACTTTGGGAGGGGCCCATCGTTTTTCCCCCTCTACCCATCACACACTTTGCTGCTAATCCGAAGGCCTAACACTTTCAGCACATGCAGAAGATTGAAACTGTATGCTTCAGGGTTTGGAATGGGTCAGGAACCCCTAATCGCCACACATCTTTGGGAGGCAAACGGTTGTGGTGTACCAAGCTCTCCAGTAGAACTCCCGTTCCCGGAATGAGAGTCAAGCCAGTTTTTAGAGCCGACCCGAACATGAACAGGACACTCTCAGAGGTCTTCTGGCGCTGGCAAACGCCTCGCGTTAGCGCACGCCGAAGGCAATCATAGACCAAGCCAAGGATCATCCATAATCGCCACCCAGAAGCAATGATCAGACTTGCCACCTCCTCTCTTGTGAAGAGTTTGTGGAAGCAGCTCAACATGTTTGTCCCATTATGTCCCATTATGGGTCGTGGGTGGGGGGGATGCATGATCTACTTGATAGTTTTCAATGTACTTGTGCTCACTTGGCTACATATGTTCTTGGGGTGCTATCCTATCTTCATGACACATGACCTCCAGGATGTGCTGCTGATGTCCTTGAACATCTTCTGCCTGAAGGTTCTCCAGCGAATTGACTCTTTGCTGCGTCACGAACGCCTGTAAGCCTTATGTGACAACTCCAGCCATTCTTCGGATATACTAGTAGCAAGAAGCTAGTAGGTGGAGGCCATCGCTATTAGGTTGGAGGCCATCACTAGTAGTAACACGAAGCTACTAGCAGCTTCTTGTTGCTAGTAGTAATGGCCTCCACCAACATCCTCCCGAAATCCAAGCCACGAGGCTCAAACCACCCACTGACCAATCGCTGCATGGCGATCATAATCAATAATCCGTCATCTATGGTACACAAGAACCAACATATGCTGCAATTGTAAATGGACACAGTATAGTGTATATACGCACATGCTAGTAGGTTGAAAAATGTTGAAACCCACATTCGGTTTTGATCTCTCTCACAGGGTTTGTGGCTTCATCGACTCGGTTTCACATCTTCGATCCATCAATGGACCGCGTCCTCCTCGCAGGGCCTTGGCACGCAGAGTGTCTCGGAGGGTTTCTTGGTCCGGCTGCCAGGCCTGGAGGGCCACTGTGGCATCGCACAAATGCGTCGCACAACGCGTCAGATCCATCGAAGGTCTTTCCTTCTTATTCGGCCTGGCCTAGCGAAGAAGCAGCAAAGAACTGACTTCTATAGATCAATATAGCGACGCAGAATACGGGCGAAAACTCACTCTGAGAGTTCGCTACAACGAAAAGACATCGGAATATGATGGAATATGTAACCCATATATAGCAACACATCACTGCCTAAACTTTGGCCTAAACATGACTTTTTGGATTCTTTTGGCCCATCACTGCCTTGGGCATGGGTGACCGCACGGATAACCATCCCGCAATGCTACAGGCTGCTGATGCCACACCTGGACAAGCGATGTCCGCACAGTGTTATGGGCACTATTGTGAGTAGATCGCCCCCGCCCACATCACGAGCGTTCTGAGGGCTTCTAAGATTTTTTTTTGGATGCATGCATGTTTCGGCAAGTTGAACCATGTTCGCTTGTAGGGTAATTTGTAACCTTTCCAAACTGGAGGAGGGTTGATTGTTTGGTGCGGAAGGGCTTGGCCGTGCTCTAGACCAAGGAAGGCGACACCCCAAGAAAGTGGGCCTCAAATGTGGGAATCTGATGAACTCTGAATTAAAGAAGGGATTCAACTTGTTCACCAACAGTTGCGAGCACGTGCGAGCACTACCCTCTGTGATGCCTTCCAGGCTATCATGGCTTGTGGAGCCCAGTGGCAAGACTGAGATCGCTTGCCCAAAGTTCCTAACGCATTTCCAAAGCAGCTCCTTTTGAAAGTAAAGCCTGCAATAACTATAACCCCATTGTTGGCGCAGGGTTTCGAAAAGCAGCTGCTTGATCCGTTTTTTCTCCTACACAAAGACGTTGTCTTCCCCACCATTCCTCTACTCCCGCCAGCCGGGCCTAGAAAAGCGCCCAGCACCAGCAACCTCGCCACGAGGGTTGAAAGCGGGTCAAAGCAAGAAAGGAATGTGTGGGATGAACCCAAACAGGGCAGCTGGAAAGAAAACATGCTCAGCCTACTAACAAGTCTTCCTTTGTACTTCTGTGCTTCTTCCATGTGTGCGTCTTCCATGGGAAAACGCTGCTTCATAGGATCCTGGTTTGAACACGGTTAAGGCCAGGGAAACGTGTACACGATACAACTCACGATAAAGGTTTCCACCACCGAAGCTGGGCGGACGTACAGGTGCATCTAGGCAGCGGTGGAGGAGGTCCAAGTCTTCCAAAAACCGGCTAGTCGATTGCACAAACTGCAAGAGTTGATTTAGATGGATCTTTGCACATCCGCATCTTACCTGGTCTACGGCATGATCGCCCTAGCGAATGCAAATGGATAGACAAGTGTTATAAGGTCTCTACTGAGTGCCCCAAAAGCACTCATCTTGTCTGGGGAGGCTCTGCTCAAGCAACTTGAGAGGAGGGAGACACGAAAGGTAGGACAGCGGGAAGAGAAGAGAACGCGAGAGGCAGGAACAAAAATGCAATGTTCGACATGGTGATTTATCCCCTCGGAGGCGACCTTTCGTACATATATGTTCATATGCACTTTAAATGTTCAAACATGTGCTCTCGAAATGTTCAAAAAGATTCTTAGGAAAACAAACTTGCCCCATGGCTCAGATCATCGGTGAGCATTGAATCGGAACATCATAGGGTTTGAACTATCCTGAAACCATAAGAGGCTCACGAAGACGCTCCCCAGGAGAGAATTGACGTGCTTCACAGAACACCTTTCGTGATTAGAGTTTCATATTCACTCTTTCTGAATGTTCAAGAGGGTTTCAACTATCCTGAAATCATGAGAGGCTCACGAAGACGATCTCCAGAAGAGAATTGATTTTAGAGGGGGGGAGGGGGGGGGGGG